ACACACACACACACACACACACACACACACACACAGTGGGGGTGAGAGGGGGGAGAGGGAGAGGAGGGGGGGTTGAGAGGGAGAGAGAGGGAGACAGACAGACAGAGATAAAAAGACAGACAGAGGTAGAGAGAGACACAGAGAGAGAGAGAGACGAGAAACGGGAGAGAAAGAGAGAAACAAGATTGTGACTCCTAGAAAAAGGAGAAATAATTTCAACTGTTCTGGAGCTCCCCACAATCCTTAGTAGGCGGTCTCGATAACTCATAGGGGCTGAAGAAAATCACCCCTGATGACCAATCTTCTGGTTGTGGCGGTCCAAACTTGACTTTGCCGAGCCCTGTTGGGGGGACCTCACATCTCGGTAGAGCCTTGGGGAGCGCGGGGTCCGAGGAAGTCTCACAGCCTTACAAACCAAGGAAATCAAACAGGGTTGCCCTCCTCTGCCCCCACTGCACCCCGACCACCAAAGACTTCTGATTTTAAGGCTGCCCTTTGTCACCTGATGTTACTTGGATAATTGTACGGGCCAGGTCAGAGGAGGGGGAAAGGCTAGCAACTTTAGGAATCATCTCGCTTCTTCCTTCCCCTCCTCCTCACTCTCCCTTAGGATGGCACTGTTGTTCCCAAGTACTAAAAGGACATTCAAGGAAGAAGGGTCAATAAACTATAGAAAAACAAACTCTGAATAATAAGCAAAAGGGCTGAGCAAAGTAGGAAGTCAGTGTGTAAATTGCTCTGCTTGTTAAGATGTCATGGCTATATCTATCTATATCCATTTCTGTATCCATACACATATATTTAAATATATGCATGTGTATGCACACATATATGTATATGTATATATGTGTACATATGCTAGAAATTTTCTCAGAACACTTTTAAAAAAAAGAATCCATTCTGTCTCCCAAATATTACTGTTTTTAAGACCATACCAGTTACAGATACTAGGTAGATTAATGTTTGTAAAGGGGGAAAAACTTCATTCTAAACTTGAAAACAGTCCCTAGCATTGTTAGAAAACAGTCTGTCCTAGCACTCAGACACACTAGGAGAACTTTTAGTATAGTAATTCCTTAGTACATGTATATTATTCAGCATGTCTCCATGAGCAGTCATTTTTCATTCCTTCATGAATTTTAAGTTCACCAGGGACAGTTTGAAATACGCTGTGTTTTTAATTTCTTGGTTCCATCCCATTTCTTGTATTTGCATTTGGATATATTATTTTCTTTTGGTAAATAGATTAAGGTAAATTAATGAATATTAAAAAATGAAGAAGTTTGATTTTTTTAAAAATTGCAATAAGAGCCAAACAAACCTGGAGATGCCTCCAAACCCCAGCAGAAACAAAAGGAGTCTTCAGTGGTACACTGGTTTTGCTCAATTTTCCTCTTCTAGTATTATACCTATTAAGAGAGTGAGAATAGTTAAAAATTGTATAGTGAGAACTCCCTAACCCAGGAAATGGCATTTTAAACTATATTCTGTTTTTCAACCCAAGTAATATTGCATCCCCATTACCCAAATGTATGCATGTGTGCAAATATGATGAAAAAATGCATATTCTCATTTAAAAGTTATAAAACATCTAGGACAATAAAATAAATTAAATAATTTTAAATACTAAAGAAACCCATCTTAGTAGAACTATATTGTACAGATATGGACATCCAGACTACAAAAGGAAAGCTTAATATTGACCATGCTTAGCTGTAAAAGCATTATGAGCAGTATTCTGAAGGTACTGCATCATATAAAGTTCTCCTGGTTATCTCTGCCTCACTCCCTCCTGGCTTCTCTCCCTTCTTTCCTCTCTTCCTTTTTTTCCCTCCTTCCATCTACCATTCTTTCCTTCTATCTTTTCTTCCCCTCCCTATTCCCTCTCTTCTTCCTTCCTTCTCTCCCTTGTTCCCTCTACAATAATGAAATACTAAGATGAGGATCACAAAGTATTTAGAACAAGGACCCTATGAGCTACACACTGATAAGCCTGCAGAGATGAATCCAGCATTTTCTCCTGACTTGCAGAGAAATTCAGTTAAGACATTGCTAGAAAGAGGTAGTGGTGACAGTGGATACACTTTATCTCTGTGTGAGGTTTTGTTTTGTTTTGAGGGTTTTTTTTTTCCTTTTTGAGGCAGTTCTCATCTGTTACATGATCATAGCTCTAATGGTTAAAATGGAAAGGCTATGTTTTCTTATTACAGAATAGCAATTACTCTTGCTAAAGCAAGTAGAGAAAACGTGTAAGAACTAAGAGGCTGCTAGGACAACCTTAATGATAATTGCACATGAAATATATGCTATCAAATAAAAAGATTTCTACATATAGATCTCAGCTTTAAAAAAAAAAAGCTCTTCACTTAATATAAATTTTCTCATTCCCCCTTTCTATATTCTGTTGACCTCAGTCCCACTAGTAAACCCAACCAAAGGCTCTTCTTTTCAGGAGTTCTTCTGACTAATTCTGAGACTGACCACATCCCCTGGGGCCTGGGGTCCTTATTTGTAGCAGAATCATCAGAGAATGCAGAAATAATCTACCTGAAGTCCTAAAGCATCAAAGCATAGTATCAATCAAACTTTATGACAATTAAGTAACAGGAGAAAGTCGTCATCTTTATAGTTGTCCTGGCCATGATCTTTGTCATCCTCATCACCACTATCAAAGTTGAAAAAGCCCTTAGATTTCTAATCCAATCCATAATATTATGGGTTAGAAAACTTCCAAGGGAGGACAAATGGCTTTGTCCAAAGTTCCAAAGGTAGTTAGTGAAAAAGCCAGAATTTGAACTCAGATCTACACTACTCTACCTCTTTGTAAGGAAAGCAGAGGTATTCAAGAAAAAAAAAAATTCCTGCAAAGAGAGAGTAGCTGGTGTAATACAGAGCCAGCCTGGAATAATGGTTAGAGTAATGATCTCAGAGCCAAGAAGACTTTAGTTCAAGGCTCATCTCTCCCTTAATCTCTCAGTGCCCTAGGTAACTCAGACTATAAATTGCAGAGTAGGTGCCAACCTGCATTGGTGGAGGGAGTTCCCTAATGCCAGGAGTACTCCAAGTCAGCAAATCACAGATTGAGCCCCTATTCTACAAATCTTCCATCATATCATGGTAAGCTTTCTTACGGGCATCTAGGCATTTAGGCAGGTTCAAATCTGGCCTCAGACACTTGCTAGTTGTGTAATCCTGGGCAAGCAACTTAATCACGTTTGCCTCAGGTTCCTGATCTGTAACATGAGCTGGTGAAGGAAATGGCAAACAGAAGCATCTTTGCCAAGAATACCTCAGATGGATCATGAAGAGTTGCACACAACTGAAACAATTAAAGAACAACAGTTTTCCTACTGCCTCCTAACCTAAAATTCTATGGGACTTAGATCTTAGCTGCTAGGCTAGGGAAATATAATGTTTTAAATTCAGTTCTTAGACTACTGAACATTCTTACATAAAATATTCTCTCTCTACACAGTATATACTTAATAAACATCATCAAAGGTGGTGGTAACAATGGGAAGTCCAAAGCACAGATAAAATTAATTCTTCAATTAGTAACATCTGACTTTATAATTTCATCTGATAGGTATCACAGATAGGTGGTATCTGATAGGCATATGAGATCATTCATAATATCTAAGGATCCTTTCCTTCAAGCTAGGTTTCTATGGTTAATGGTGAAAATTTGGGCAACAAAAGACTCTTGGATAAAGGCCCTTCAAGGTATGCTTATTCCATTTATTCACGAGGATAATTTTGCTTAAAAGCATAACTATGTTCTGATTTAATTTTGCTTGCATTTTTAAAAACATCAAATGTTTTGTCCAATAGAACAAGTCTTAGAATTTAGAATATGTTCCTTCATTGAAACAACAACAGGAAAAAGTATTTGTTTGGAGAAAAGTCATTCACCAGTTCTGTTCTCATAAAGATTTAATAAAAGCCAACTAAAGTTTAAGATCTCTCCGTAGACAAATAAAGATCTATCTCAGCAAATGTAGAGTTGCAGTTTTCATTGGTGCTGAGGGATTTTACACACAAATGCAATTTTATTTTACATTTAAAAGAGGTAAGTAAATAGACAAATCAATTTTAGCTCTCCTGAAATTTTCTATTGGACCATTAATTTTAAAAGATGGAGACTTGGATAACAGTTACAAGAGCAGAAACCCAAGGGTAAAGATCGTAAAAATGATCACCTTCAAAATTCTAAAGAGTCATCCCCAATCAGAAGGGAGGTGGACCAAATTTATTCATCTTCCTTAAGGTGAACACCTGTGTAACTATTTTTACTTCTCTTCAGGTTCCTATGAAACCATTTGTAGTACACAAGTAAAAAAGAACACAGGATCAATTTCTCCAAATCCTTACCTTTCTGCCCAATCAACACTGACAGCTGACTTGAAATTTCCTTGGAAATAGACGTTTGAGTCGATTTAAGTGATCTTGATCTCGGCAGTGGACCTAAATACGAGGCTCGTAAACAACAACGACAACAACAACAAGATAGGTTCACAATCCAACCACTTGGTGCTAAGGCAGTGCCTCCTTTAAATAAATGTGGATCAGTAGTCTACAACCAACATGAAATCAAGAACTCATCATAGATGATTCAAATTTAGTTTTAGAAAGGAAGTGTGATCTAGGTGTTTTGGTTTTTTTTTTTGCATAAATTCATCAGCAGAGTTGCCTATGTCTTAGCATGGTGATAAGGTGCTGACCCAGAGCAAAAAACTCATGAGATGAAATTCCTGAGAATTGTAAAAGTGGTTGGTAAAGGTTTTCTCTGAAACATTTTTTCTAGAATTTGCTTCAAATCATCACAGCCCCAATAGATGAAAATATGGATCCTCCAGATTGTGCCACATTGGATTTCCTTATAGGTAAAATGGCATTATGATAAAGTCAATTCAATTTAACTAATATTTCATAAGCACCTACTCACGTACAAATCCCTATGCTAGGTAATAGGATGCAAAGATGAAAATGAAATAGTCCCCACCCTCAAAGAGGTTACATTTTACTGGAGGGTCACAACATGTACATAGATAAGGGTAAGGTGATCCAGAGAGGGAGATAGAACTAACCCCTATTAGGGGATCAGAAAAAACTCCCTGTAGCAGGAAGTATCTGAGCTGAACCTTGAAAGAAGGTAAGAGGCCAACGTAAGAAAACAATCTAATTCCATGCATGAGGGAAAGCCCCTGCTAGGAGATGGAGTACCAATTTCAAGGAAAAACAGATAAGGACTCTAATGAATGAACAGTCAAAAGTATAAACAGGCATGTCTCCAAGGAAGAAATCCAAAATACCAAAAATCATATGAAAAAATAATAAGATAAATACAAATTAAAACAACTCTAAAGTTCTTTCTCATGCCCATCGGATTGATAAAGATGAGAAAACAGGAAAATAACTGGAATGGCTGGAGTAATTCACAGCATCAGCTTAAAATTATACACCAAAAGACAGTAAATTGTTCATACCCTTGTACCTAGCAACACCATTCCTAGGCATAGCTAAAAGAGATCTAAGAAAAAGGAAAAGTTCCCATGTTGCAAAAAAAAATTATAACATCACTTTGTTACAGCAAACTGGATCCCATTAATTGGGATGAACAAATTAAAGTATACAAGTGTAATGAAATATTATTGTGCTTTAATTAATAATGAAAATGATCAATTCAGAGAAACCTGTAAAGACTCGAACGAATGACACAGATTGAAGTGAGCAAAACCAGGAGAACAATGAATACAATGGCTACAATATTGTATAGAAAAACAACTTTGAAAGACAAGAGCTCTGATTAATGTAATGACTTAATAGGACGCAAGAGGCCAATGATGAAGCATGCTTCCTTCCTACCAACAGAAAGATGATAGACTAGAGGTAATGAAGGAGGCATAATTTTCAGACATTGTTGATATATGGATTTATTTTGTTTGACTATGGATTTGTGTTAAAAAAAGAGATTTTTTTCAATGTAATGTAGGAAAAAGGTTCGGAGGAAGACAACCCCCCGGAAAAAAACACAAGAAAGAAAAGTTCATTGATAAATTTTTCAAATGTGCAATCAGAGGGTATCAGAGACAGACAAGCAGGACAGCTTTGAAACTGTGTTGAATTTATTATATAATTTTTAAGCAGGCTACATTTAATAAAGATTCACCATTTCATATACGTCTCTTTTCTAACGTTCTTTGTCTATGAAAATGCATATATTGTTTGTCAAGTCCAGAATAACAAAAAATAAAATTACTAAACCACAAAAAAAGAAAGGCACTTTGACTGAAATGTATAGTGAATGAAAGTTAATAATGTGAAATAAACAAGGCACTTCTAATAATGAACCCTCAGTATGGAATGGAGACAGAATGCTGGGCCTGGATCAGGAAGACCTGAGTTCAAATCCTGACTAATAACTTTGTGATGGGAGGTTAAGTCATAGCCTCTCTGGCTTCAATTTTCTACTAGGAAAGCCCAGCTCTGGGGTCACATGACTCCTCCAAAGAGGCTCTTCTCATACTCTTTAGCTCTTGACACCACCAACCCTGAACAGAATTGCGGAGACAGGACAATCTCTTAAACAAAGTTTAGATTTGTCTCGTTTCTAGAATCTCCTCCCAAAAGGGATTATTAACAGGTTCCCTTCTAGAGAGACTCACTATACTAAGTAGATCGGGTATAGGACATGAATGTGTAAAACACAGAAGACTCATAAACCTAAATTGACAAATACTTTAAAAATGATACAATAAGCCATCATATATTATACACTCCTGGAAGGTTGATACTTAAAATATTAAAAAAGGAAACACTATGGGACTGCTGAACAAGCAAATCACCTTCACTCAGCTCTACATTGTACAAGTAACTCGTTCAAGGTCTATGTTTTGGGAAGTCAGGGCATGGCTTATGAGAGTCCTCCTGTTTGTGGATGCTCTGAGGAGCAGTAGGGAGTACTTTCTGCAGAAGAGTCAGCATCACCTGAGGATCCCAGGAATACCTGAACTCCTGAGGTGATTCCCAGGCTTGAAAAGCCTCATTTCAGGTTATCTGTACTTGAGGAAAGGAACCTAAGGAAAAAAATGTATGTGATAATTTTGTTTATATTTGAAAAGAATAGCAAGTTGTGCATAACAGATTTGCAGTTTCATGTGCAATCATTTTTTTTATTGTACTATGCTATGGAAATGCTTGTTTTACTCCATAAATTAAAAATAAAATAAATTTTTAAAAAACCCTACTGAATGGGCAGCTTTTGCTTTTCAGTGGCCCCCATCATGGTAGGGGAGTGGGAGGAGAGGAGAATGAAGAGCATGGAGAGGGGCAGGAAGAAGGACACAGCCCACAGGGAGGGGAAGGACACAGCCCTGTTCTCTTTAAGAGGACAAAGTGCATACCCTGCTAGAAGCAGCCAGGGTGCAGACTCCACATCCCACGATGTGTCCTAGCTAGAATGTGTGTAAGTGGCTGTAGCCACAGTACAGGCTCATCCACACACATGCTCCAGGCCACGGAGCCATAGAGATGTGTAAAATAAAGTTAATAATGATACCTACCTCACAGAGTTGTTGTGAGACCCAAAGCAAGTCACACATGCTAAGAGCTTTGCAGACCTTAAAGTATTATCAAACATCACCCAGGAGCCTAGATTTAGAGCTCAAAGGTACTTCAGGGGATACAAAGGTCACAGGTATATCAGACACCATCTAGTCTAATGCCTTCATTTTACAGATGAGGAAACCAAGGCCTATGAAAGTTAAGTTATTTACTCAAGGTCACAAATGTGGTAAACATCATAGGTGCAATTTGAAACCAAACCCTTTGACTACTAAGGCAGGGCTCTTTCCACCATGATACGATATGGTATATGATATGATATGATATATTATAACATAACAGTATAGTACAGTATAATACAATACAACATGATCTGGTGTCATGCGATATGGAGCAGCTAGATGGCGCTGTGGATAGAGTGCCGGTCCTGGAGTCGGGTTTCTTCCTGAGTTCAAACTAGCTGTGTGACCCTGGGCAAATCTCTTCACTCTGTTTGCCTCAGTTTCCTCATCTGTAAAATGAGCTGCAGAAGGAAATGGCAAACCACTCCAATATCTTTACCAAGAAAACCCCAAATGGGGTCATGAAGAGACAGACATGAATGAAATGACCGAACAACAACAAAAATCATACGATATCACATTACATGATATGATACAATATATGATATGGTATGGCATGACATAACATAATGTAAGGTGATTTGTCATGATAATAAGGCATTTATTAAGCACTTATATTCCAGGCACTATGTAAGCACTAAAGACATAAATACAAGCAAAGACAACAATGCTTGCTCTCAAGGACGAAAAGGAGGCAAGAGCTACACACCAGGTATCCTGATAGAGAAATGATCAGGGGGTGGAGGAATCCTAGAGGCAGGCAAAAGAAGTCAGAACTAATACTACTGATGGCTAGACCTTAGCTTGGGTTCCATGCTAAGAGCTGGTAGAATGATAAAAAGGCTCTGGTGAGTAACATGTGCCCTTAGGTTAAACCCACATCTTTAACTCTTTTTCTTTCTTTTCTCTGACTACACCAAGCTTACTTCCCTTTTTTCAACAGCATTTTGTAGATCTTCTTCTGCAAAACAAGGATGTGGTTGGTGAGTTAAACTGCACCATGTTGTGACTAGGGTACCCAAGTTTTTAAAAGAAGGAAAGTAAAGCCATGACTAAAAACAGGTTCTACCCGTCTGGGACCTAAGAAATCCAACTAAGTAATGGAAAGAAACCAAGTGCCCGACACAGAACATAGTGAGTACTCAATAAATGTTTGTCAGATTGAATTAGTAATAAACATGTAATGATTTACGTACCTTATCTCATTGGATTCTCACAACTCTCAGTGGGAAATGAGGCAGCTACTCTTATCTTCATGAGAAAACTATGGCTTAGAGAGGTTGTTACTTGCTCAGAGTCCCAGCTATTATGAAATTTACTGGGAACAGCAACCTCAGTCTCCAAACTCCAAGTCTAGTGTGCTTTCTACCTTGCTTGAGTCTGAGCATGTCCTGGTCCCTTTACTTTTGCATTTGGCAATGATTAGAATGGTGGGATATCCAAGCACAGATACAGGTATTAGGTACAGATGCCCTAATTGGGTTCTGTTGGCCCAATGATATGGAAAGCAACTAAAGGAAAATGAGAAGAGATTGGAAGGAGGCAGTGAGTTCCCTTAGGACACAGAGCTTATCTTGCCCTCAATGCACTTAGCCAAGTGTGTCCACAACGGTGGAGGGTGGGGGAGGGGGTCACTAGAAAAAGGATAACTATAGGGGATGCACATGAAGTTAATGATGACATAGTTCAGACATAGTTTCTGTGCTATTATGATGACTGAGAACTATCTGGAAGAATTCGCTAACAATGGAAAAGGGATCCATTGTTATCTAATTTCAACCTTGCCCTCACGATTGCAAAGCAGTGCTTTTATTTTTCCCTGATTGATTGTCTACAACATTACACACAACAGCT